CGCCACTGTCGCCGCCATCGCACCACCATAGTCGTCGCCGCCACGACCACCACAGTCAATGCCACCCACCACAACTATCACCGTCGCCTACCACCACTGCTGTTGCCCACCACCTTTCATCCCCACTACAAACCGATGTTTAAATTTTTTTATCTCTTCTTTATATTTGTGATTTGATTTTAGTTTTGAATACAAATATGTTTATTGTTTATCATTTTTTATTATTATGTGTCTTCAGACACATACAATAACAAGTGTTTATATAAACAAAGCCACTTTTTTCGACGATGATATTTGTGATCGTCTTAAACATGGGAACTCACCAAAAAAAAGTTTTACCAGCTTTTATAAGCCTTGTTCCACCGGCTATTCCTCTTTTTGTTGTAGTTTATTGAATTTAAATTTTAACAAATTATATGAATTTTAACTTAATTTCGTCTAATAATCACTCAATGACTATATATATTTGTACACATATGTAAATACAATCTTGATTGGATCGGGTTAGATATTAAATTTTATATATTTAAGTTCATGAAATATAATAAAACAAAATTAGAAATTGGTTTATTGTTTAAAAAAAAACATCAATGCATCTCTTACTAACTAAATGTGAAATCCAATTAGATTGAGATCAAATTCGACCTATACATGGACCAACTCCCAACACACCATAATTAGGCATTTTTAATTGCGTCGGGTGAAGCGAGTTTATATCAAATTTTAACGGATTCGTATCAAAAAATACTCTAATGATACTTGATTTGTTTATTAATTTGTGTCTAACGAGTCATATTTTATCGGGTTCATGTCATATATCAATCGTGTACAACCGGTATATAAATAAATCGTGTCGTATATTTCTTTTGATTAACTTCATGCATATTTGATTCGTTTATTAATCGTGTCGTATCGTGTAGGGTCCACTCATTTATGAAACGAGTAATTTAAAGAAGACACAAATCTTCTAACTTTATGTCGTATTCGTGTCAACAAGTTATGTCAAATTTTGATACCCCTGACCATAATAAGAGAGAAAGTTTCCGGTACAAAAAATTACAATTTTTAAGGTAAAATTATAATTTTTTTGAGGTGTAAATTATAATTTTAAAAAGTACGATCAATCATGAAATATTGAGATTAATATCAAGTTTTCCTGATCCATCATGACCACCCAAATAAGGGGGATAAGTAAATACTTTGTACGTCATATTACAATCACACATCACATCACATGGTGCCCCACCCATTTGACTAAATCAAATTGTCAGACACTGGACTTCTTCAATTTCGGCTAAAAAGTTTATAGTCTTTTTTGCGTATTAGGACTTTTAACTTTGGTAGGAAAACTTCCAACATTAGTACCTCTATATATATACATATCCTAATCCTAAACTTTCTTCACACAACCCCCACCAAACACACACCACCCTGATACCCACAGAAAAAGTATAATTCTAAAATGGGTTCCAGGAAGGTTATCAAAAGTTGTGGGGTTTTCTTGATAATTATGGTTCTCTTGTCTACTGCAGTGATTGCAAGGGAGCTAATTGAAAATTCTGAGCCGCCTAGCACAACTGGTAAGTTTGCCTCCTCCAATGGTTTTTCATATTTTCTTTGTATCTACTTCACAAGCCAAAGGGTGTCTATATATGCCTATGTGTGTTTATACCAATCATTTA